TCTAATCGAGGCAAAGGCCGCGGTCGTAGTCGTGGTCGTGGCCGTGATTCAGGGGGAGGACGTGGTTCCTTTGGTGGGAGGCAAGGTGAATCTGATAAGGGCTCACGATAGTCTGATCATTGTGGAAGAACCAATCATATTTCTGAGAAGTGCTGGGAGAAGTTTGGTCGTCCTCAGTGGGCCCAGGTAGCTGATACAGAGTCGACTAACTCATCTATTTCTGCTACTACTTCTGGTGGACCAGCTGTTACTGCTCCTACTGTTCAGATTTCTCAGGCAAATTATGAGAGGTTGCGCCAGCTAGAACTCTCTCAGAATATTCATTCTGCTACTCATGCATCATCTTCAGGTATGGATGCTTACATAGCTTCTTCTCACAAACTCTGGGTACTAGATTCTGGAGCTTCATCTCATATGACAGGTATAAAGGATCACTTTGTATCTTTACATCTTTCTGATAAGTTTCCTTCTATCCGCATTGCTGATGGTACTCTTTCTCCAGTTCGTGGTGATGGAGTAGTTCATGCTACTTCCTCTTTAAAACTAACTGATGTGTTATATGTTCCCAAATTCCCTGTTAGCCTATTATCCATTAGCAAGTTTACAAAACAAAATAATTGTAAAGTCACATTCTTTCCATCTTATTGTGTTTTTCAGGACCTAGCAATTGGGATGAAGATTGGTTCGGGGCATGAGAAAGGAGGTATGTACTATTTGGACGACAGTGTGCCAGAAGCTGGCCTTGTTGCATCACAGTTTGACTCCACTTTATTGTGGTACTGGCGTCTGGGTCATCCTTCACTACAAAAACTTAGATCGGTAGTTTCTGTTCAGCCATCTATTTCCTCTTTAGGTTGTGAGTCGTGTGAACTGGGTAATCACCATCGTGCTACTTTTCAGAGTCGAGTCGATAAACGTAGTAGTTTTGCTTTTGAGTTGGTTCATTCCGATGTCTGGGGTCCTTATCGAGTTCCCTCTGTGTAAGGTTTTCGATATTTTATTATCTTTGTTGATGATTTCTCTCGCATGACGTGGCTTTATCTGTTAAAAGAGAGGTCAGAGGTCTCGCACATTATTGAACTCTTTTATAATGAAATAAAAACTCAGTTCTCTACTTCTGTTCGTATTCTTCGTACTGATAATGCTTTGGAATATATGAAAAGTGATGTTTCAAAATTTTGTGCTCTTAATGGCATTATTCATCAGACTTCTTGCTCTCACACTTCACAATAAAATGGAGTTGCTGAGAGGAAGCATAGGCATATTCTAGATGTTGCTAGAACACTGATGATACATATGAATATTCCAAAGTATTTGTGGTCTGATGCTGTTCTCACTGTAAATTATTTGATTAATCGCATGCCTTCCTCTGTCCTTGATAGTTTAATACCATTCAATTGTCTTTATCCTAATAAAAAACAATTCTCTGTGATTCCCCGTGTCTTTGGTTCTACGTGTTTTGTTCAGGATTTAACTGCTGTTTGGTTCTACGTGTTTTGTTCAGGATTTAACTGCTGGTTTGGATAAGTTGTCATCTAGATCCATCAAATGTGTTTTTGTTGGATACTCTCGTACTCAAAAAGGATATAGGTGTTATCATCCGTCTACCAGGAAATATTTTGTGTCTACTGATGTTACCTTTTTTGAGTATGTCCCATATTTTTCGTCTGGTTCCACTACTATTGGCTATCCACAGGTACCACTACCTTCTTCTGCTCCTACTACTATTCCATTACCTGCTCCTGTCGCTCCTGCACCGAAGCCTCTACTGACATACTCTTGCCGTCCAAAAGTACATGCCCCTGAATCTGCTACTGCGGAACCTTCATCTCCAGCTGTCGGTCCATCTCATGTTGAGACCTCTATTCCTTCTGACTTGGATATCCCTATTGCTCTTCGAAAAGGTAAACGGTCTTGCCCGAAATATCCTATATCTCTTTTTGTCTCTTATGACCGTCTCAACCCATCTTTTCGTCAGTTTGCCTTGTCCTTGTCCACTGTATCTATACCTAGGTCATATGAGGAAGCTATGTTAGTACCAGCTTGGAAGCAGGCCATGGATGAGGAAATGAATGCACTACTTTCTAGAGGGACTTGGGACTTGGTTTCTCTTCCTACTAGAGCGACTGTGGTTGGTTGCAGATGGGTGTATACCCTGAAATATCGTCCCAATGGGTCTGTTGACCGTTATAAAGCTCGCCTGGTTGCGAAAGGCTATACCCAGACATATGGCGTCGACTATTTTGAAACCTTTTCTCCCGTTGCTCGTCTCAACTCCATCAGAATTCTTTTCTCTCTGACTGTTAATATGGATTGGGCGATGCACCAACTAGATGTGAAGAATGCTTTCCTTTATGGTGATTTCGACGAGGAGGTTTATATGGAGCAACCTCCTGGGTATGTTGCTCAGAGGGAGAATATTATCTGCAGGGTGAGAAAGGCCATCTATGGGTTAAAGCAGAGTCCTCGAGCTTGGTTTGATAAGTTCAGCAAGGTTATTTCTAATGTTGGTTTCCAACGTTGTCAGTCTGATCACTCTGTCTTTCTTCGACGCACAACAACTGGTTTGGTTATTTTAGCCGTATATGTTGATGATATTCTGCTGACTGGGAGTGACTCTATTGCCTTAACTGAGACTAAGGAGTATCTAAACCGTCATTTTATCACTAAGGACATGGGAAAGCTAAAGTATTTTCTTAGAATTGAAGTTGCATATCAAAAACATGGCCTGTTGTTGTCCCAAAGGAAGTATGTGCTAGATTTACTAGAAGAAGCAGGTCTCTTGGAATGCAAACCTGCAAGCACTCCAATGGAGACAAATATTGATTTGTGGCGTGATGATACCTCTCTCCTAGATGATGCTGGACGATATAGGAGACTAATTGGGAAGCTAATATATTTGACAGTTACCAGACCTGATATTACTTTTACAGTAGGTGTATTGAGTAGGTTTATGCACAAACCTAGAGAGGTTCATTGGACAGCAGCTCTGAAGATTTTGGCATATGTCAAGAGTTGCCCTGGCAAAGGATTGTTATATAAGAAGCATGGACATACTCACATTTCGGCTTTCTCTGATGCTAACTACGCAGGAGACATGGGAGACCGGAAGTCAACCTCAGGATTTTGTACTTTTGTTGGAGGTAATCTTGTGACTTGGAAAAGCAAAAAACAAGATGTAGTATCACGATCTAGTGCAGAGGCCGAATATAGAGCAATGGCTCACACTGCTTGTGAGATGGTGTGGCTAAGAGTTTATGACAGAGCTTGGTTTTGTTCAGCCTGGACCCATGCCAATGCATTGTGACAACCAGTCTGCCATTTATATTGCACAGAATCCTGTGTTTCATGAAAGGACAAAACATATTGAAGTTGACTGCAATTTTGTCAGAGATGCTTGGGAGAAGAAGATAGTATCTCTCATATTCACTCCGTCCTCACAACAACTTGCTGATATTCTTACCAAGGCTACTTTTTCAAAGGTGTTCTCTACTATATGTGACAAGCTGGGCATGGTAGACATCTATGCTCCAGCTTGAGGGGGAGTGTTAAGTTAAATATTGGGTATTGGGTTAATGGGCTGTTACCCGTTAACCTTAACCCTATTTGTATGGCTATATATATCTTTCTTGTTATTCTCAATAAACTATTAGGGTTTTCTCTATTTTCTACATAACTTATATGCTTTCCTCCATAAAGCAGTTTGTTTTCAACACGTAAACCACTTTAAATCTCACCTGTGATTTTCAGTACTGGAGAGTTCAGTTAATTCTTTATGTCACTTCAGCCATGAACTAACTAGGTACTTTAGAGAAGAAAATCAATTTTCAAGATATATAATAATTTTGGAACCTTATGTACAAGGTTTATCAAGCATACGAACTCTTGACGCTGATAGTCATAGTTGAGAGTAAAATCAACAGCAATGGAAGCATTCATCAGTAACTTCAGTAGGATTTGTAAGTTAAATCACAATGCAACAGTTAGTTTAAGGGTAATTAGAGCAAATCTCCTTCATCTATACCCTCACAAGTCACAATGTCGTTGGCGACGCTCACACAAAGTACATAAAGATTAGAAATTTGATAGTCACCATATCATGCATATATACCATTATAACCATTATAAGCAGATACAGATGATACTATGTGCGCCAAATTTGATGAGATCACACCAGGCATGATCATATTCCAGCATAATTATTCATGATCTTAATCTAATTTGTTATAGTAAAAAAGTGCATGAGGTATCAAGGGCTGTCATTGAATAGTTTTTTCATGCATGAGTATTTAACTTCACTGTTGGGGGGAGCCAAAATAGGCTATTGGCATGAACTCCCTACCTAAGAGAGATAGATAGATAGAGATAGAGAGAGAGAGAGAGAGAGAGAGAGAGAGAGAGAGAGAGAGAGAGATGCAACAGAAATCACTACTTTTACTTTGTTAATGAAAAGAATAGCAGCAACATAGGTTATTGAGATGGCTTGTCACTTTGTCATGTGTTTCGGTGGACAAGAAAACAACCCAACTTGAGTTCACATGCTTTATTGAAACTCCTATTGAACTCTGGCATGCTTCTCATTATGTTGATTGACTACCCAATCATTTTCATCCTAAACTTAAAACTTTATTTTAAAAAAACAATCACCAAGGTAATGCAATGGTCCAACAGAAGAAGAATTCCTATTCCATTATATATACATTTGCATAATTCTCATGTATGCACTAATGACTAATCAGAGAGTAGATTGTATCCGGACCATCAAATATTCAGAGGACAGAATACATCTAGTTCCTGTCACATACAATTAGGATCCACACCACACATTGTAAGGGGAAAAACATGCCCAACTATTTTAAGGCCTACCCACTACACATTTTTGTTCTTATGAAGTAAGCTGACTTGCTGCTCAGGATTCAGGAACATTAGTATCAGGACAGCAAGCAAGCAAAATGCAACATGCACAGAATTTTAATTACCAAATTATCAGAGAGCCAAAATCTATAACCTGTAACCTGTCGGTAAAAGTGATTGAATCCATACAAAAGTCAATCAAGGGAATGGTACTTGAAGCTACAAACATAGCAGAATGCTACTATCTACCAAAATTCCAAGATATATTTCTACTCGTCAAACAATCTCTAAGTCTCAATATGAGCACATTTTAAACCCCCAACACAGAAAAATGTACAGAGAAGCTTGAATGGGTACTTTAACAGATTTCACCATTACCTCACCATTCGAGCTCCGCAAAGAATGATCAGATCAAAAAAGAAGAATCCATGCACCCTCAGTTCGCAATTATATCAGTCATCACCCACCAAGATCTCTACTCAGCATCACCAACAATTGAAGCTTAGAAGATTGAAATCAACAATACTAGGAGTAGCCACTGCTAATACGACCCCTTCAAAGCCTGACCAGAGCTAAACATTTTCCCACATATCCAATTTGCATTTCGTGTGTAACTCAACACCGAAACCCCAAGAAGTATTTCTCAACTCATCTAACAATCTCCAAGTCTCAATTTGAACAAATTCTAAAACCCCAACAGAGAAAAAAGCACAAAGAAGCTTGACTTAGTCTAGTAACGAATTGCGCATTTACCTCGCCCTCGGCCTCCTGAAAGAATGAATCAAATCAAAGAAAAAGAACATATTACACCCTCATTTGCGGTCATATCGGTCATTGCCCACCAAGATCAGCATCATGATCAACAATTTTAGGAGCAACCTTTGATGAATGAGACCTCTTATGTCCACCCAAAGCCTGACCAGACCTAAAGAGTCTGCCACAAATCGAACATTCATGGCCTAATCCTTCTGCTTCATCTCTATCACCATCAGCTTCTAAGCCATTGGATCCACTCTTCTTCTTCCTCCTCCTCCTCTTCAAAGAATCATCATCCTCATCTTCGAAACTCAATTCTTGATGCTTAGCAGGATTCTCATCAGAATACTCAGGAGCCCCATTTCCCCTTTTGCGTTTATCCCTGGAGAGCTTCATGAGGGCAATGGCACCATCTACTTTCTCCTTCGGGTACTCTGACGATATCCTCCTCTGCTTCTTGCTCAACGATCTTTCATCATCTTCTTCCTTAGCTCCCTGAGTTCTCTGAGAATGGGACTTCATACGGCCCTCTGAGTTTTCTGCACATTGGAGATCACCGAAGCTCGTCGTTCTCTTTGGTTTGCCTCTCAGCCCATAGCCAGCGGCGGCCAGCGGTGGCACGTGAATGCTCATGTGATCGTCGAGGGAGCGAGCGCAGGGGAAAAACTTGGGGCAGAATTGGCATTGGAGCTTGCGATCTTGATCCATGAAGAAGGTGAAAGAAATCAAATGGGTTAGCTTGGATTGATGAAATCTTGGGATTTATTGGGTTCTGGAGTGATTTGAGAAGAACTCAGATGGGGATTTTAGGTGCCCAGCATTGAGCATTTGAGCTTCCAATTCTAGTCTCTCTCTGTACAAATCTTGGGGAGTGTTGGAAAAAAAAATCCAATCTTTTTACGGAGAGAAAGAGGAGATGGGTTCTTGTTTCGATCACTCTTCTTTCGTATAGAATAGCCCTCTAGGTGCAGGAGAACATGCATGAGGGAAGCAAAGTTGGAAGAGAGGGTTTATTTATTTATTTATTACTTGGGGTAAATTTTTGAAAACCCCTTTCAAACATTGGAGGGTTTCGCACTAATCACCCCCCTCAACTCTTTTTCCCACCAAGTGACCAAACCCCTGAATTTTTTTAAAAAAGACCGATTTTGCTAATAACTAGCAAAATTGACCATTTTTCTAATTATTTAGCAAAATCGACATCTTTTTGACCAACATGCCAAAAAAGAGATCGATTTTAAAAAACACTCAGCACAAAACATACGGGACTACTAGTCCCGTATGTTTTAGGTGAACTAATCACCGATTAGTTCACTCAGAAAACATACGGGATTAGTAGTCCTGTATGTTTGGGGCACCCAAATGTTGTGCCCAGCAAACCCATGGGACTATTAGGCCCGTATGTTTTGGACACCCAAATATTGTGCCCAGTAAACCCACGAGATTAGTACCCAATGCCCAGCAAACCCACGGGACTACTAATCTCGTGGGTTTGCTAGGCAGAGGCAAATAAGTGCCCAACAAATCTACGGGACTAATAGTCCCGTAGAATTGTCGGGCTATATAAGAGCCTAGTTGTGCCCCAAATTAGGGCACATCCTATTCTCTCTCACTCACTCTATCTCTACTGATCTCTCTCTCACGATCTCCCTCCCGATCTCTCTCTCCCCCCCATCTCACTCTCTCCCAAACATGAACTCAACCTCTCCCAAACCCATCTCCCTCCCAAACCGATCTTCATCTCTCCCAAACCCGACCCCTCCATCTCTCCCAAACCTGATCTCTCTCCCCCCCCAAACCCAACTCACCTCTTCCTCCCTCAAATTTGACGCCGTCGATTCTCTCCAATGCCGACAAGATCCGAAAGTTCGTCAAGGTATACATTTCTTGATATTTTAATTATGATTATCAATATGGAAATATTTTAATTATGATTATCAATATGAAAAAAATCTAATTTGTATATGATTAATTTTTAATTCTTCAGTTAAAATGGCGAATGGAATACCGATTATTTGCTTATTCAATAGAAAACTGAGTGTTGGAATGAATAATATGGCTATATATGATGGGGCTTTAGAAAAATATTCATGTTATCTAGAAATTGCAATTTCGATAGAATGATGGAGCAAGTATACAAAGTTACTAGAATTAATCATGCTGAAAATGCCATTAAGGTTTTCTGTAATTTTCCGATAAATGAAAGTAGAAAAATTGTTGTAGAGATCACCAATGATGGAGAATTGAATGACATGATCGGACTTGTGGAAAAACAAATCTCAATCGAGTTGTTCATTGAAAATATTCCAATGTCTAGGGTCGCCGAAGTTTCATATGCTCACGGAGAGTTCTCCTGCATGCTTGAAAATCAAATCTCACTATCTCAAAGTGCCTTGCACTTAAAAAATGACTCGGGCGCAATGTCAAGTGACATGTTCCACAACGCGTCGGGTCATGTTTCAATTAATTTATCAGGTGGTTCTATAATAGAAGAAGATGATGACGTAGATGCCGATGATGATAATGAAGTTATTAAAGAGGAGGAACGTCTTGATAGTATGCAGTGTGCAATTGGAGAGACCAATGATGACGTAAGTTGGATAGATGAATATTACGTAAACAATGATTTTGTAGAGTCTGAAGAACCGTTGCCAGAAGAGTTTGAAAATGACGAGTGGATAAATGCCTCACAAGCTGAGTTTGTTGAACCTGGTCCTAATTTTGATCAACCCGAGGACTTCACTTTCAAAAAAGGATATCTTTTTGAGAATAAGGAAAGCTTAGTTTTCGCTATACATGAATGAGCAATCAGGAATCGGGCCAAATTCAAGCCGGTTAAAACCAATACAACTAGCTACCATGTAAAATGCTACTTCAATGAGAAAGGTCAAGGAGAGAATACAAGTGCCGCAGACAATAGAAATTCAAAGTGTCCATGGAAGCTTAATGCGGCTGTTAGGAAAAAAATCTAATGGACAATTTATAATCTTAAGTTATTACGGACTTCATACATGTTGCAATTCGACCGTCAATAATGATCATAGGACAACAACTTCCGCTTATATCATGAAGCTAATTATGCTCGAAGTTAGACGGGAACTTGATCTTACTTCGGGACAGATAATTACAAGGGTATATGATATGAAAAAAAATAATTATATCCAAGTATAAAGCATATGATGCACGGAGGAAGGCATTGATTAAAATCTTTGGAGATTGGGAGAAATCTTACCAACTACTTCCGTATTATCTTGTAGCAATTAAGAGGAAAAATCCGGATACCGAATATGAGATAGTTTCTAAGGAGATCGAGTCGGAAATAGAGAGGTTCATCAGGGTATTTTGGGCATTTAGGCCCGCTATCAAAGGGTTCTCTTTTTATCGTCCGCTCTTAAGCATCAATGTAACACATTTATATGACAACTACAAAGGAGTGCTCTTGGTTGCGACCGGTGTAGATGCAAACAGTGAGCTATTTCTAATAGCTTTCGCAGTTGTGGAGGTGGAGGATACATCGAGATGGAAGTGTTTTTTCATGTATTTACATGTACATTTCAACTGTTCAAAGTCCAAGAGTTATTACTTTTATTTCTGACCGGATGAAAGGAATTCCACGAGCCTTGCATGAGGGATGGAGTGCACCACATCATCACCGCTATTGATTGCGGCATATAAGAGCTAATTTTAAGAAAAAATATGGAGAGACCAATTTACAGAATTTATTGTGGCAAACCAGGTGTGCCACTGACCCACTTGTATATGAGCATTGTAGGGAGAAAATTAAATCCCCTTTCAGTTGAAGCACACAATTGGATTGAACAAAACTTGAAGGCACAATATGAAGATCGATGGGCATTATGTAAAGATAGTGAAGTGCGCTATTGTATGATGACAACTAATTACTCTGAAAGTTTCAATGGCGTACTTAAGGGTGCCCGTGCTATGCCAATTCTAGCCTTAGTTGCAAGGACGTTTTATAGATTGAACGCATACTTTAATAAGATACGTAATGATGATGCAAATTGGACGAGTAAGTACACTTTAAAAAATGAGATAATTTTGCAGAAAAGGATGGTGGCCGTAAAAACTTGTAGAATTGAACCATTCAACGACAATGAATGAGAGGTTAAAGATTGTGATGGTACTTACATCATCCATCTCTATGACCAGGAGTGTAGTTGTACTTGTAGTATACCACAATTACAAAAATTGCAATGTGAACATGTTCTAGTGGCCAGTTCCAGCCAGGATGGTGGCGCTAGGCTGCCTTATGATCAGTATTATTCAGCTTGGTATTCAACAAATCATTATCAAAAGGCTTATAAGGAGAGTTTTCATCCTCTCGACGATACTCGTTATTGGCCGAAATTGTATATACCATATATATTACCACCATAATACAAAAGACAAGCAGGACGACCTCGCTATATGCGCATTAGAGGTACTATAGATCAAGGCCGGGAAGGAGTAGCGTCATGAATAAGATGTGGATAATGTAGTCAATTAGGGCATAATAAGTCTCATTGTCCATCAAGAGCAAGTAGATGGCAATTAATTGGTAAAATATTTTCTATTTCTATCTTTATTTTTTATTATTATAGTCTTATTGATTTAGCATAAACTAATAAGTTAAAAATTATATGTGCAGGTATATACAAGATGCTTCCCGAGCTGGTCACTGATGAAGTCCTCTATGATCAGTTACGTCACCGTTCAGAGAGCATATCATTTACATCAGTAATGATTCTCTATTTTTTACTCATAATTTTACAGACACATAACTTATTCATTGTTATATTCTAATATTTATTTTTATTTTTATTGTAGAGAGGACAAGAACTAGTTATGATTGATCATAGCCTTGGACATACTCGCTGGCCACTTGATGATCCTCACATTTTTTGCTATAGTACATCAAGCCGGTTTTCTTACTTGCTCAAAATTACGATGGATGAAGCTCGATTGGGCCCTGCTTAATGCGTTGATGGATTGATGGAGGCCGGAGACTAACACTTTCTATCTACATGTCGGCGAGGCAACTATTACTCTTCAGGACGTAGCGATGATCCTTGGTCTCCGTATTGATGACCCTTGTGTTACGGGGACTGATAGGCATGTTTGGGGAAGTGTATGTGATGATTTGTTAGGATTATCTCTAGAGTCATTGCCTGGAGGATATATTAGATTGAAGTGGTTGCAGGTAAAAAAACATTGAATTTAATTTAAAATTTAAAATTTTGAACAAAAACCTACCTTATATCATCAATGCAGATGGAATGTCACCAAAGCCTATGATGAGACCCCGGCAAGACAGCTAGGTTTTTACAAAGGGGAGCTCGACCGGATGAAAATTTTTTAGGTTTCGAATTTGAATTGAAGTCATTTAAAGCTACCGATATATTTCAAAGAGTTACTAATATATGTAGTATTTTGCAGTTCGAGTGGTAGCCATACACACCTTACCTACCTCGTCTACCGCTGATTTGTATGGAAGGACATGTCATATGGAGGGTCAGAGTTCCTCTCATTTGTTTTGAAATTGTAGAGATGCACGTGCCGGATCGCGTGTTTAGACAGTTTGGATTCACACAACACGCTCCACAATATGTCGAAAAAAATGAGAGAAAGGCTTTTAAAGATGGCCATCAGATTGACTATCGGAATACACATCATTCATACATTGCAAGATGGAATGATCAGCATCAACTTATTGTTGATCAGCTTTATCCTCCAATGGAGGAAGTCGATTACATTAGATGGTATTGAGGGGTTACCAGACGTTGAATAATCACTCAAACCATGCCTCCGGTCAACGAAATCGAGATTCGCTCCTAACAATCCTGATATGTACCAAGAGGGGTAGATGAGAGACAATGGGTAAGTAATTGCAAAAATTATCATAGAGTTTTCAATTTGTTGTTAGCCTTTGGTTTCTTATATGTATCGATATTTTGCAAACAATTGTAGATAGACACTATGGACGAGGTAGAGGGGATTGCAAATGAGGGCATTGCTACCGCCATATGAGATTCAATAGACATATCATTCTTGCATCGGATAGTGGCGAGAGTTCGTAGAGCTTTTCGACAAACTCATGAGGATCAGCATGAAGGTCGCGAGCAGGTACCGCATGAAGATACCTTATATGCACGACGACGAAGGCGTGGTAGATCTTGCTTGCACGACGATAAAGCCGGTCCGTCATAGCAAGTGGGACCGTCACAGCCCCACACACAACCAGAGAGCGAGCATATACAAGCTCAAGTCGAAGGAGGCCGTCGACGATCTGAACGGGTGCTAAGAGGGAGACGACGAGGGAGGGGGGGACTTTTAGATTGTTAGCTTTTCTTTAAGATTATATATTGACGTATGGAATTATTGATACATTTGGATTTGTTTAGCTTAGACTACATATTATCTTATGGGTAGACTTGATACATTTGGAATTGTTTAGAATTTTACCATATTGGTATGCGTATGACATGTATATTGTGTGGTGATGTTCTGAATTGATTAAACTTGTTATCATCCGGTCTTATTTCATCGGATTTGTGTTGTGATGTTGTGTATTTTTTAAATTTGTGTTGTGAATTTTTTTGTGAAAATCAATGTGAATTTGTGTATTTTTAGATTGGTGTTGTGAAAATCAATGTATACAATGTGGATAATATTTTTTGTGAAATTTTTGGTCAAATAATACTGTATATGAAGTTAGAGGCTTGTGCATGTTTTTGTGCATGTTTTGTCTCTGCCCAACAAAACCACGTGACTAGTAGTCCTGTGGGTTTGCTGGACACAACATTTTAGGTGCCCAAAACATACGAGACTACTAGTCCCGTATGTTTTCTGGGTGAACTAATCGGTGGTTAGTTCACCTAAAACATACGGGACTAGTAGTCCCATATATTCTGAGCTGGGCGTTTTTTAAAATCGATCTTCTTTTGGCCTGATGGCCAAAAAGATGTTGATTTTGCTAAATAATTAGCAAAATGATCGAGTTTACTAATTATTTAGCAAAATCGGTCTTTTTTAAAAAATTCCCCTTTTTGAAAACCCCTTTCAAACATTGGAGGGTTTCGCACTAATCACCCCCCTCAACTCTTTTTCCCACCAAACCCCTGAAATTTGGGGTGTCTCACAAGTTGTCCCCTACACTTTCAACTTTTCCCATGGATCCTCCTGACATTGTTAATTGATAAAGGATAAACAAGCAATTATCCGAAAAATAGTTTGTGATGCTACCAACACTGTTAGTGGGGTTTATTGGAAAATTTTGAAAGTTCAATAGGGTTTTGTGTGACACTGGGGGCTCTGAATGGAACGCAAAAACTCAGGGGACTGCAGTGGTAACCCCAATTATTTAGGGGGTTTTATGAAATCTGCCCTTTCACTTCTACTACATATTGGTATGCGCAATGCAATGCACGTGTCAGGAAGATTGAACTCCTGTAAAGACAAATTTATACATACAAATCTAATCTGAAAGGTATTTTCAGCATAATTTTCTTCTTTCAAACGTATGGAAAGCATTGTTACTTACACTGTCTTGGAATCCAAGATGAATTGTATTATGTCACCTATTAGGATGGTCCATATAAATTCTGTCTGTCTCTCAATCTCTCTCCTTTTTTTTTTGATAAAAAAACTAGAAATCGAACCTAAGACCGTGAAAGCTATATTGGAATCTCCCGACCGTCTGGACTATCCCCGATAAAATTCTCTTTCTTTTATCCTAAAGATAAGTTCTAGCAAACCTTCAAGTGGCTATCACATTTAACTTTAGAGATTAAAAGAATCGCATCTCCAACCCCTCCAGTTTATTTTAAATCTAATATATTATTATGTAGCAGGACAATAAAGCTTCATATTCATCTTAAATTATTTTATTATAAATTTAATAATGACAATTAAGCTTTAGTGCATAGTTTTCATGTAATAAGAATCATTAAACTTCATTAGGGCGCGCCGGGGGCGGGAGGGGGGGCGGGGGGGTTGGGTGTAACCAACATATGTACTAACTGATTGTTTTTTTGTTAATGAAAGCAGTAAAAGAGGTTAAGTGATGGTTGGCTTGTTGGCAAAGTCAGTTATTGCTTGATTTTGCTCTTGATCAGGTTTAGAGCACACTGGAGAACCTGATAATCCAAGAGAACACTCCACTCTATATATATGCATTCTCAAATCTCATGTTTTTCCACTAATCCGATAGTAGATATTGGTCTGCACCATCAAATGTTCAGTGGAGAGAGTACATGGAATAGTTGATCTCACTTAATATTATGGGTAAATTAAAAGAAATTACCCCCTTTCCTTTACAGCAGTTTTCCAAGAAACCCCTTCATCTATTAAGGTCAACAAAAAATCCCCCTCATCCGTATCCAGTTTTTTCAAGAAGCCACTCATCCGTACAAATTCTAAAATGAACACCTCATCTATTCATAAATGTGTATATTTACAATGAAATATATCTCTCCTCGTCTACGGAGAAGATGATAGAATATATGTCAAGTTTGGAATTGATATCAACAGATGAGAGATTGTTTTGGTTCAACTCATATAGATGGTTTTTTTAGGGAAGGTGAAAGGGTTTCATTAAAAACTGGAATAGAGATGAGGGGTTTGTTCTGTTGAACTTAATAGATAAGGATTTTTTTATTTTTATTTTTATTTGAAAAACTAGGTATATATGAAGGGGGCTTCTTGTACTTTAATATTAGTATTCACACCCTATATTTGTGAGTAACAAGTACTCACTGCTTCATGCCTGCCTAGTACATATATTTGCTCTTATTCAATTGAAGTAGCTAGCTTCTTATTTAGAATGAAGAAAGGATTAGTGTCAGGGCTGTAAGCAACATGCAATATGCAGAAAATTTTACCAAATTATTAGAGTGACAAAATCTATATAACCTGCAACCTGTCTGAACAAAATTAAAATGACTGAATGCATACACAATTCAATCAAGGGAATAGAAATTTCAAGCTACAACCATAAGAGAAGCCTATCATGTGCTCACATCCAATTTGCATTTTGTGTATCTCTTCAACACAAAAAGTCCAAGAAGTAATATTGAATTGAAGTAGCTGACTTCTTGCTCAGGATTCAGAAACATTAGTATCAGGACACTAAGCAAAATGCAGTATGCACAAAACCGTAACAAAATTTCAGAGAGCCAAAATCTATACAGAATGTAACCTGTCAACAAATGTGATTGAGCATATACACAATTCAATCCAGGGGATGGAAATTGGCAGCTACCAACATAAGAACATCCTAATATCTTGTTCAGACAAAATCTCCATTTGTGTGTAAACCAAACATCAAATTTGAAGAGTATTTCTGTACTCATGAAACAATTTCTAAGTCTCAATCTGAACACATTCTAAACCGCAGACACAATGCAAAAGGTACAGAGAAGCTTGAACTAGTCCTTCAGCGAATTGCATCATTACCTCGCCTTCGAATCTACAACCTCAATTAGCAACCACACCAGCCATTGACAAGCATGATCTTTACTCAGCATCATCATCAACAGTAAGAGAAGTAGCCATTGCTAAATGAGACCTCGCCATTACCTCACCTTCAAACTCCTGAAAGATTGGGGAAAAAAAAGAATCAAAGAGGAAGAATCGATACACCCTCAACTTGCGATCATATCATCAGTCGTTGCCCACAAAGATCAGCATCATCATAAACAATTCTTTGCGTAGCCTTTGCCCAATGAGCCCTCTTATGTCCTCCCAAAGCCTGACCGGACCTAAACCCTGCACCACAAATTGAACATTGATAGCCTAATACTCCTGCTTCAAAGCCATTGGATCCAATCTTCTTCTTCTTCTTCTTCTTCTTCTTCAAAGAACCATCACCATTATCTTCAAAAACTGATTCTCGCTGATTTGAGAAACTCTTATCAGAAAACCCAGAAATCCCATTTCCCAAATTCCCCTCATCCCTGGAGAGCACCATGAGAGCAAGGGCACCATCTACTTGCTCCTTGGGGTACTCCGACAATGCCATCCTCTGCTTCTTGTTCAATAATCTTGCATAATCTTCTTCCTTAACTCTCTGAGGATTTGAATTCTGAGAATGGGACCTCATGTGGCCAAACAGAGCTCTGCAGGATTTGAATTCTCTGCCGCAGTCACTGCATTGGTTCCCTCCGGGATCGTCGAAGCTCGCCTTTTTCTTTGGTTTCTACCGGGGTCCGGCGGCGGCACGGGACTGCGCACGTGACGGCCGAGGGAGCGATCTTGATCCATGAAGAGGGTGAAGGAGATGAAATGGGTCAGCTTGAATCGATGAAATCTCTTGGGTTTTGGGGTGATATGAGAAGGACCCAGTTGGGATTTCAGTTGGTTTTGTTTCTTGAGTGAGGGAACGGAAAAAGAAACGGGTACTAGCTCAGCATTAATCTCTCTCTTTCTCTGTATAAATCTTGGGGAGTGGGGGAAAGATCCAATCTTTTTAGAGAGAGAGAGATTAATGAGGAAATGAGTTCTTGTTTCGAGCACGCAGGAGCACTCTTCCTTCATATAGAATCGCTCTCTGGACACAGGAAGAGGAGGAGTCCATGCACGATGGAAGCGAAGGTCTAAACTTCAGAAGAGGGGTTTCTACTTGGGGTAAATTTCACAGAACTCCCTGAAATTTGGGGGTTTCCTGTGAATCCCTCCTGAACTTTGCACCCACCAAATCCCCCGAACCCTAAACCCCCACCACCCACGGAAGATTTCATATTTTCCCACTGAACCCCTAACCTTTCTTAATGGATGAACAAGCAATTATTTGGCAGAAGAATTGTTTTTTTTTTTTTTTTTGGTTTTTGGCAGAAGAATTGTTTTTTTTTTTTTTTTTGGTTTTGCCTGGCGATGTTATCAGCACTGCTTGGAGAGTCCAATGGGAAAATTTAAAAGATTTGGGGGAGTTCCGTGAGACATCCCAAAGTTTAGAATATGGAACGGGGAAATTTTTTTAGGGATTTCGGGAGGGGTTTTGTACAATTTACCAATTTTTCACTTGTACTGCTACTAGCATGTTGGCATGTACAGGGCCTGCACTAGGGAAATTGGACTTCTATAAAGACATTCATACATATATAAATCTAAGGGGAAACCTCTTTTACTGAAGAGCTAAACATAAGAGTCGAAATAAAATAGCATTCCATCATCTTTTGTATTTCTATAAAAACATTATTGGAAAGTCATGGAAAAGCTCCTTTAGAACATTTTTCCTATTCCTTTTCTTTTATCAAATGAACCAAACAGGCCCTAAGTTGAACCCTTGACCCGATTTCTTCTGTGGCTATTTGGTTTGCGCAGAAACCTCACAAAAGGGTCTTCAAGAAATACCACATCCATCACTTCCGTTCTACATTTTAGTTTTTGTTATTTGGTTGACAACAAAAAAGGAGGAAACTTCCTCTCTAAAGCTAACAAAAAGTTGTACGAAATGAGAAAATACATCTTCGAGTTTTTAGCTTGGAAATGGATGGGAAATCTGACATGATCATGTGGGTTTATGATATTTTTCTTAGAATTCAATTTTTTTTAACCTTTTTTTTTTGCGAAATCAACCAAATAGACCATATGTGGAAAAACTCCCTTGTTTGTTGCCACCTTAGCGGAGAAAGAAACCACCTTCTTTGTTCTGAAACTATCTTTATCCTCATTCTCTCGTCTTTTCCTTTTCTTATGAACCCATGGATGATGTTCTCTCCATCTCATCCTTCTCCTCAACCATTATCTATTTTCCTTATAATACTGCTATTGCATCCTCATCCTCTTTCTTCTCATCTTTTTTAACCATTATCTTTTTCACTGTCATGGTCTCTCCTTTATCATTTTTCCTTTTCCCTCAATCATCTCCACTCCTTCTTTCACAATAGTCGCCATGCCACTACAAGACAATGCATAGTTTACAACAACAAGAGTCATTGCAAAAAATAGAAAAGTCTTTGCAATCACCAGTAAAAAAATGAGGGCATTGGCGACGAGGTATTGGGGATGGATATCGAGTCCGTCGCCAACACAAATATTGGCGCGGGAACAATCCCGTCACTAATACCCCATTGCCAATGTTTGCATTGGCGACAGGTGTTAGCCATCACAAATGTTTTCCCGTCGCTAATGCTCATTGGCGACGGCTATCCGTCAGCTATATGCTCATGGCGCGGCTAAACATTAGCGACGGCTGCATCCGTCGCAATAAGTATTGGCGACGGCAACGCCCGTTGCCAATAAGGATTGGCGACAGACACTGACTGTCGCTAATGTGATTTGCGACAGCGTATAAAATCGTCGCCAATGCTCATTGGCGACGGTGGCGCACCTGTCGCCAAATACTTATTGGCCGAGGATGGGGCCGTCGTCAATTAGTTAGCTTCCGTCGTCAATGCACATTGGCGACGGGTCAGTGCCTGTCGCCAATGCACATTAGTGATTGGTTGTCCTGTTGCCAATTAGTAGCCCCCACAAAAAAGTAAGGGTTATTTTAGTATTAATCCCTCAAATCTTCAATATTTCAAAAGTAGTCCACCAAATTATAAAAATTGCTAACACGTCTAGGGATGGAAATGAACCAAATAATTAACAAATAGTTTGATTTTTGTTCGAATAACTATTTAGTCATATTCGATTTGGTAGTTCATTTAACACTAAACAAATATTTTTTAGTATTCGAGTTTGCTAACGATTAGAATTTGACTACATATATATTCGATTCTTTGTCTATTAAATATTCGTTTAAAATTGATCACATGTTATTATTTGTATCATTGCATATATGATGTCGTATTTTTAACCACTTACCATTTCTACTTAAGTTTTATATACCGATTTTATGACTTAAATAATCATAAATCTATTTTCTAATTAAATTTTGATTTAAATATATACACATCATATAGTATAAAGGAATATTTTTTATTTATGAATTTTAATACTACTTGAAAATTAAATTCTGTAGCGGAATAAATATACTTTGATATTCGATAAGTATTCGTGAGATTTTGGCTTCGACTTTGATTAGTTTAGAGAAAATGATGAGAAAAGTGAAAATGCTGAGAAAATGGTGAGAGACCAACGAGGAGATCATTTTTAGTTATACATGTTACGAACATGTAACCATATTGATCTTGATAATGATATACCAGAACTTATCATAGCCCTTTTCAATTAATTAGGAATTCTATGTTACTTTTAAATTTTATTTTCTTTTATTCTTTATGCTAGCAGCAGATTCGATGACCTCCACTACTCTTGGCTTCATTTAAGGATGAGCTTGAGCCCTACAAACATCATTAATGGATTTAAGAGAAGCTAAATAAGATTTAATCACTAAAGAAAACAGATGGAGATAGTTTGGATAAAGTTCTCTTGGAGTTTTTATAAGGTTAAGAGGAGAAAGAGCCGTCAAAATTGAGTTAGAGCGAAGATGAGATATGTTGGAGAAAAAAAATAAGTTTTTAATGGATTTAGGTTTTCATGTTTTAACGGGTCATCTGGGTCCAAACGGGTTGGATTTTTAATAGGTCCAGTTTCTTATAATACTCCCATTTCTACAATATATGGATTGACAAGAGGAAGCAACATGATCTACGAGCCAAACAAGTTTAAGTGTCCTACTGCAGGAAAATAAGAAAATCCCAACACATCAGAAAATATCAGTAAGTTTGACAATTTCCTTAAAAAAATGAGTATAACAAATAACTTTATTGATATATGGTGTGTTATGCAATTTAGTGTGCCTAGTAGAGACCACAGCTATATGGTGTCTTATGCTTATTTGTTCATTTCTATTTGTCAAAAACGAAACACAACTATAACAGTCTACTATATACTCAGCAGATATCAGCCAAAAGATACATAAAAATAACTAGTTCTTCCAGTTTAAATAAACCGAAGAAGTCACTTGCTTAGTAAAACAACATGTAGCAATCCGCTTGCTTCAATTGGAACATAAGAAGAAATACCACAGATCTTCTCAAATATTTCCTACTTTGTCACTTACCAATGAAAGAAATGATCCACACCGGTCTTTATTGAAAAATAATTAGAATTAGGTACTAAAATTATTGTAAAAAATAGAGAGAGAATAATTTCTATGTTTCATAGTGCACATGGTCAAGTTGCCCAAACTGATATAAGCCAATCAAACACGAACTTGCTCTGTAATCAACTCTTGTCATTTTGATAGTATTAAAAAAAGAAGAGATTTATCATCAATGAAGGTAACGGGCTCCTTCGTCTTTTAGGAGGCCCAATAATAAGGGTATTAGGACCAAATTAAGGAAGGGACTAGAAAACTGTTATCCCATCTCATATCATTCCTCTAATATTTGTGATAACTCGATGAAGGTTTTGAAAACCGTCTTTATTTTATACAGATTAATGATGGTCAAATGGTCCCTTCACAAAATTTGGTCATTAAAGACATGATTTCTTGTAGTAACTAATATTGAAATGACCTAAACATTAACTCTGAACTCAAGGATGTAAAAGGAAAATTGGTAATAATAGTTAGATTTGAGGGTTACAATAGCAATTCACCTAAATGACTATAATTTTAACTCTAAATTCATAAAAATCTAATATTACCCTAATCCTAATCATAATATCATAATAATCCAACAATAACTCAAGGATGTAAAATGATGTTTTTGGGCCTAAAAAAATTGGCGAGAGAATTCCCCCTAAAATTTTCAACTAAAATTTTCACCTGAAAAGTTTAGGGACATAACCCCTATCATCATAGCCCAATGCCCTTGGGTTATGACCATATTTGGGCGCATTTAGTGCACGGGATCGGTCATAACAATAATTATGCAAATGACAGTTCCTATTGCAGTAAGTGTAATGGAATGGACTCATTTGTTTTTGTTGACCATGAGATTGTGCACGTAAAACATTTGCAAACAATGGTTGACTTTTTAAATCATTTTGTAAATATGAAATATTTTTAAACAAAGTTGGTCATTTTGAAATATTTTGCGGTTTAGAAATTTTCACAAATAAAAATAATATTTTGTTAAATGACCAACTCTTCCACAAAAATCACACTTATACATATTAACATGCTTATGATGAATATTGTGTGCATGT